ATAACTGAATTTTGAAGGATAGTGTAGAACGTCATAACTTACTCTACCGAATTTTGTAGCTGAATTTACAGAATTTTTATCATCTTATACTTCAAATTCACAACAATAGCTACTGTTCTAGCCTCACTCAGACACGGAAAAATGTCCGAGGCTATTGTCTCTTCTGTTGTGCAAACGCTCACTGATCTATTGAGAGAAGAAGCCAAATTTTTAGCCGGAGCTGACGACCAGGTACAGGGTATTCTGCATGAACTTAAGATGTTGCAAAGCTTCTTGAAAGATGCAGATGCAAGAAAAATTGAAGACGACACTGTCCGCACTTGGGTTGAAGGTGCTAGAGAAGTTGCATATCATGCTGAAGATGTCCTTGAGACTTATGTTCTCAAAGTTCAATCCAAGAGGAAGGGAGGTATCCTCAAAAGGTTCGCTTGCTTATTGAATGAAGGTATACTCCTACACAAGGTTGGGAAAGAGACGCAAGGTATTAAAACTAGGATCTCTCAACTCACCGATCAGTTATACAAATATGGCATAAGAAGTAGTATAAGGGAAGGAGAAAGCTCAAGTTCTGAAAGGCAACGGCAGTTAAGGCGGTCTTATTCTCATGTTGTTGAGGAGGATTTTGTTGGGTTGGAGGGAGATGTAAAGAACATGGTGGATCATTTGGTGAATGAAGAAAGAGACAAGTACTACCAAGTTCTTTCCATCTGTGGCATGGGGGGTCTGGGCAAGACCACTCTTGCTCAAAAGATTTACAATCACCCAAATGTAAAGCGTCATTTTGATGTGTTGGCTTGGGTTTGTATATCTCAAAAATGGGAAACAAATGATATTTTGCAAGGAATCCTAATTAAATTTGTCCCGGACAAGCGTAAAGATATTATGAAGCTGAGAAATGAGGAGTTAGTTAGGGAACTTCTCCAAATCCAACAAAACAAAAGATGTCTTGTTGTTCTCGATGATATTTGGTCAGCGGATGCTTGGAATTGCATAAAACCTGCCTTCCCTGTTGGAAAGATAGGTAGCAAAATTTTGCTTACCACTCGTAATGAAGAAGTGGCGTCACAAGTAGATCCCAATGGTTTCCTTTATCAACCACGATTTTTGAGTGAAGATGAAAGTTGGGAGTTGCTTCAAAAGAAGGCTTTGAGAAATAGAGAGAGTACAGGTAATTTATCACTGCACTGTGCATTACATTTAATGTAAATTGTTAGTATATGTGTATAATTTGTATATGTGTATAATTTATATACATATAATCATGATGAATTTTCATCCCCCCTTACTTCTTTAAAAAAAATCTTCACTTACTTTTTGGTATAATAATATTTGTAATTTGGTTTCGTNTTTGAGAAATAGAGAGAGTACAGGTAATTTATCACTGCACTGTGCATTACATTTAATTTAAATTCTTAGTAATTTACCCAANTCATCCCCCCTTACTTCTTTAAAAAAAATCTTCACTTACTTTTTGGTATAATAATATTTGTAATTTGGTTTCGTGTAGCAATTACTAGTATGTAATTTCATTTCTTTTAGCAATTATATATATTTTTTTTGCTTGATAAAGCATGTCATATCTCAAAATGTAAATTTTATTGGTCATATGTTGACTAATGTCTAAAACGTATCGATCTGGTGTTGACGAGCTCCCAAGAAATATCAGTAGAGTCGAAGAAATCGAAGATTTTATTTTTAGATTATGAATACATTGAAAAAGTGTCAAACATGTATAAGAATATATCAATGAAGTTTTAATACGGAGACGACACGAGTACAACTCTCTCTTAGAAATATCCTTACTTCTTAGTTTGATACCCATTTTAGAGAGAGAGAGAGAGAGTAACTAGGCCAGTTAAGTCCATGTACATGGAGACACTAAATGTTGATGAAGACATTCAAAAAATGTTGGTACCTTTCATCCCCAACAAAACAAAACGCATTTCATTTGGTGGAAATTTCATACTCAAGCCACATGAAATTGTATTGAGTAGTTGATCTTCTATGAAATGGCAAAAAAAAAAAATTGATCTTCTATGTTTAAATTTTGGGGAACAATTTTAATGAGTGCTTGATAGTTGAAAATTTGAGAAATATTTATTTTTGTTCAAAGATAGAAAGCTACAAATCTCTTAATTTCCTAGAATATTTTTTTTTAATATCCAAACTATCCCAATAGATCACCGCAGTACTACCTTGTTCACATACGGACTTTGTTGTACCTTGTGCATATTGGGTATTGGAAGCAAAATAAATCACCAAAAGAACACAAAAACAGAGGACAAAAATCTGCTCCACTACCACAGTAATTTCACTCAAGAAACACCTCTATATTTCATCAAAAATGATCACAATGTCAAGGACCACAAAAGGGATAACTTATCTGAAATTTTCAGCAATAAACATCCAAGAAATACAAGGGAATAGAGCTTCTGCTCATGAACAGCCTGCTGCGTTTTTTCTGGCAGCAAAACAGAATTTTTACTCTGTTTCTCTCTGTTTTTTTTTTCTCCAGATACACTCCACTTTTTGGGCAGCAACTCCACTCATTTTATACTAATTTTTCTTAGCCAAAACACCTTGAATTTGGCCATTTCATGGCCGGCTATCCTGAAGAAAAAAAACTGTTCGATTTCCCATGTAGCCATGCATGAACAACCCTCCCAAGAACATGAATAGACCTCCCAAAATATTCTGGACATTTCTAGTGACCATCTCTTCAAATACCATGACTTATCATAAACTCAAAAATACAAAAAACTATCATTTAAAAATTGAGATTATAAAAACTAACATCCCCCCTTAAACTCAATTCCTTGGGTTCTCATGCCTAGCATTATTTTCAATCTTCCAAACACATCATGCTTTAATGGCTTTGTAAAAATGTCGGCAACTTGATCTTGAGTCTTGCAATGCACCAACTTCACTTCTTCATTTTTCACATGTTCTCTAATAAAGTGGTAGCGCGTATCAATGTATTTACTCCTCTCATAGAACACCGGGTTCTTAGCCAATGTCATCGCCAATCTATTATCAACATGGATCTCCATGGGAATTTCTTGAGAAAATCCCAAATAATTCAACAAGTTCCTCAACCAAATAGCATTACAAACCGTTGAATTTGTAGCCACATACTCCGCTTCACACGTAGACAAAGTAACAATTGCTTGCTTCTTAGATGACTAAGTAAAAGCCGTATCTCCCATGAAAAAACAATAACCCGAGGTATTTTTCCTTTCATTCAAGTCTCGTGTCCACTCACTATCCGAATATCCAACAAGTCTAAAATCATTAGTGCAAGAATAAATAAGCCATCATTGAGTGTACCTCTAATATAACGTAAATCCTCTTTGCCGCATTAAGATGAGTTTGATCCGGTATTTTTATGTATCTACTAACCAAACCAACTCCATAAAGAATGTCCGGCCTTGTGCAAGTAAGATACTGAAGACTTCCAACTAAACTTTTGAAGTAAGTTGGATCAACATTTTCACCACTAATGTTTTTCCTCAATTCTAATCCAATTTCTATGGGTGTGTTCACCGGGTTGCAAGAATCCATCTTGAACTTTTCGAGCACTTCCTTTGCATAAATACTTTGAGAAATAAAAATTCCATCTTCACTTTGCTTAACCTCAATGCCAAGGAAATGAGACATTAAGCTAATATCAATCATTTCAAACTCTTCAACCATACTTCTCTTGAATTCACCAAACATCATTGGATCATTGCTAGTGAAGATCAAGTCATCAACATAAAGGTAAACAAGTAGCACACTTCCATTGCCATTCATCTTCATATATAATGCATGCTCATAAGGACACTTTTGAAAACCATTCTCACGAAAGTATTTGTCAATTCTAGCATTCCATGTGCGCGGTGCTTGCTTTAATCCATAGAGAGCTTTTTTCAACTTGTACACTTTATCTTCATGTCTTTTTTTCACATACCCAAAAGGTTGTTCAACATAAATCTCCTCCTCAAGAAATTCATTCAAAACATGCCAATTTCACATAAAGTTGGTAAATCTTCCACTTGTTTTGTGCTGCTAAAGAAATCATCAACTTAATCGTTTCCAAACGAGCAACGGGAGCAAATACCTCATCATAATCAATTCCGGACCTTTGCTTGTAGCCTTTAGCAACCAACCTTGCCTTGTATCTTTGGACTTCACCATTTGTATCCTTCTTGGTTTTATATACCCACTTCACACCAATTGCTTTGTGACCTTGGGGAAGACAAACTAATGCCCATATATCATTCTTTTCAATTGCCTTCATTTCTTCATCCATTGTTATTCTCCATTTCTCTTCTTGAACCACTTCTTCAAAACATAAAGGATCACAATCCATGAACAAACAAAACAAATTCAAGTTACCTTTTAAAATTTTCTGTAGATTCATAAATCTCTTGTAAACTTCTCATTTTTCTTGGTCTTTCACTTGAACTTGAATCTGATGATAAAGATGATGATGATGATTCACCTGTAGAAGATGAGGGGAATCCATGTGGAGGAGTCTGTGACTCTCTTTGGACTTCCCTTGGTTCTTCGGACTCTTCTTCTTCAAGCAAAAGTTCCACTTCGGTGGCTAAAATTTTTTCTTTCCAATCCCACATATCTTCCTCTTCAAAGATTACATCTCTAGTCATGATTATTTTCTTAGTAATGAGGTTGTATAACTTGTATCCCATTGTTCTATTACCATTCCCAAGAAAAATACACTTTTCACCTTTATCATCAAGCTTTATCCTCCTTGCTTTAGGAATTTGCGCATAAGCAATGCATCCAAAAACTCTAAGATGGGCTACACTTGGGTTGAATGAACACCAGGCCAAACCTTTTTTGTTCAATAATCTATTTGCTGTTTTTCACAGCCATAGAAAAACCTTATATGCTCAAGGGGCAATCAAAAGTTTTCTCAGTAATCTTGTGCATGATTTCTGGCACTGAAGAAATTTTGTTATATTTGTTGTTTTGCAGACCTGAGTTATGTTGAAAAAATGGAGTTAGGGAGGAAAATGGTTAAATATTGTGGGGGCCTTCCTTTAGCTGTGGTTGTTCTTGGAGGACTTTTGGCGACGAAAGAGACCTTGAGTGAGTGGGACATGGTACACAAAAATGTTAAGTCACATCTAAGCAGAGGCAAAAGCACCGAACATGGTGGGCGAGTGGTAGACATATTAGCTTTAAGTTATGATGACTTACCATATCAGTTGAAACCATGTTTTCTTTATTTGGGCAACTTCAAGGAAGATTCTGAAATAGAAGTAGAGAGATTATATCAATTGTGGATAGCTGAAGGTATGGTGCCATCAGATGATAGATTAGAAGAGGAAACAATGATGGATGTAGCTGAACGTTACTTGGGTGAATTAGCACATAGGTGTATGGTTCGAGTGCAATTAGAGGAGGAGTCAACCATTAGAAAGTTTATATCTTGTCGCCTTCATGATCTAATGAGAGAGCTATGCTTGTCCAAGGGAAAAGAGGATAATTTCCTCAAGTTCATTGATTATCAGCATGGAGATGATGATGAGCAAGTGGAATCCTATGCTTCAACCAATAATACTCGTAGACTTGTCATTTATTTGGGTGAGGAGGATGTAAGTCAATATGTTCCCCCAAAAAAGGAAACAGTCCGGCACCTCCGATCACTTTTGGTCTTTGTATCAGATGAGTACGAGGGACGTATGTCACGGATGATGAAATCTCAATTTAACAATTTCAAGATGCTCAGAGTTTTAGCTATTGAAGGATTATCATCAAATCTTACAGACACATATACTATTGAGGCTCTTGGTGTGATAATTGATCATTGGAAGTTATCAAAAGGAATAGGTAATCTAATCCATTTGCGGTACCTGAGTTTGAGAGGGTCTGCGTGCGTTAATTTCCCATCATCTATAGGCAACTTAAAAAACTTGCAAACCCTTGATTTAAGGATTGATATCCTATTTTTATGGAATGTAAATGTGCTAAGAAAGATGGGAAGACTAAGACATCTATATCTTCCACATTTTTATGACATTGATCATATGTTTGTAGTAGAAAAAGTACGGTTGGATGACTTGAGCAAACTGGAGATACTCGAAAACTTCGATGCAGCTTATTGTGTGGTTAAAGATCTTTTCAAATTAATCAATCTTCGAGAATTAACAGCACGTGTGGAGAAACTTGAGGACCTGCGAGCAATCATGAAGCATGTAGGAAACATCGCTCCGAACCACCTCCGGAACTTATCCCTCCGTATTCAATGCAGATTTTGTTCTGAAGATGAGTTAACTCTCCTAACCCAATTGTTAGGATGTCCTCTACTTCAGAAGTTGGAAATAGGNATGAAGCATGTAGGAAACATCGCTCCGAACCACCTCCGGAACTTATCCCTCCGTATTGAATGCAGATTTTGTTCTGAAGATGAGTTAACTCTCCTAACCCAATTGTTAGGATGTCCTCTACTTCAGAAGTTGGAAATAGGTGGGCTTATAGGTAAGTTACCTGAGCACACCCATTTTTCTTCAAGCCTTACCCAATTGTCTTTGTATGGATCTGAACTTGAAAAAGACCCTATGGCAACGTTGGAAAAGCTTCCTAATTTACACAAAGTCGACTTGGGGATCGACGTCTTTATTGGGGAGGAAATTGTTTGCTCTGCTATGGGCTTTCCACAACTCAAAAATCTAGAATTGTGGCTATTTCCGAATTTACAAAAGTGGAGGGTGGATAAAGGAGCCATGCCCAATCTTTCTACTTTGGAAATCCGTTCTTGCAAAAAATTGCAGAGGGTTCCGGAGGGATTGAAGTTCGTCACTACTCTTCAAGAGTTGGTAATTGGTGATATGCCTAATGAATTCAACGAAAGGATTCGAATTGTAGACGGGCAAGAAGGAGAAGATTTTGACAGAGTCCGACACATCCCTTCCATCNATGAATTCAACGAAAGGATTCGAATTGTAGACGGGCAAGAAGGAGAAGATTTTGACAGAGTCCGACACATCCCTTCCATCTTCTTTTGGTGAAATGAAGCAACAAAAATCAGGCAATCAGGTTTGTTTTATATTTAGCAATTTCATGAGCTTTATCTCTTTTTGAATTGAATGAAAATTAAAATAAAAAAAAAAAAAAAATTTGGCAAAAATAAGGGAAAACTGAAAAGCAAATAAAGTTTCTTCCACATCTCTCTAAAATAAAAAATTTCTCGGGTTCGACTATGCTCCGTCAAGCATTGCTTTTTCCACATCCCTTTGAAGTATTAGAATATTAAAATCTACCATATGGATATTTTCACTTAACCAAATTAAATTTGAAAAAATTAAAAGACTTTTTTGATCATCTGGTCATAATGCTCTACTTTCAATAAAAATTAAAAATTTTTAGAATACAATATTAAAATTTATGGTCAAAACTCGTTTGATCAATATATTTTGTTGAAATTAACCAATTAAGCATTGTATGCTGTGGTTTTTACCTTTTCCTTTTTTATTTTATTCAAATACTATTGGCATGAAATCAAAATGCAAAAAAAATTAATGGAGTGGAGCTCTATGCCTCTCTCTAGTTTTTGGTTAAATGTGACATTATATTGGTGGATCATATTTGGGGTGTGCTTGTTTCACTAAACATTTGATCTAATCATGGTCTTAATATCTCACATTTGTGATAGGCATTTTCTCTTATTCTCTAATATTAGCTATCTATTAAACAATAATTTAATGTCGACTGGATGCTGGTTTATTTCGGTTTCAATTCTCATTCACTTCTTTTGTGAGTAGTCATCCACGGTATACTGCTATGAAACCATGAACTGTCATCAATAGGTTGTTAACTGAAGTAAATTAATTGCATAACTAGTTCATGTATTTCAAACCATGAATTTTATTTTTATTCTCATCTTTTTCCCAGTGGAGTTGGGTTGGGTGGGGTGGGGGAGGGTAGGGATACGGTTGGGACTGGAGAGGATTGTGTCTTGGGTGGCAAAGTAACATTTGGAGTTTGTTAAAAGCTTAAAATTGTAACATGTGTTAGACAATTAGGATATTTAGAAGAATATCATTGATATTTATCTATAGTTTAAAAGAAAAATATAAATTATTTTCAAGATGGTAAAAATACTTCACTTGGAGCTTAATTTGAAATAAGGCAAATGTAAGTCTAAATTAAAGAATGCTTTTAAAGTTTCAATTTTGCCTAGAATTAAGAATGCAATAGAAAGTAGAAACGAACTTGTAAGTCGAATCAACAAAGACTTTGCTATGGAATATGTTGTATTTGCCATTAATTTCTTGTTCCTCATTCGTAACAGGGTCCTGAATTTACTAAGCATACACAACCTGATATAATTTCAATACCAATTGATCTAAATACAATTTTTTTTTTTTAATTTCCAGGTAACGCCATCCTTGGTGCTGGAAACTTTTCTTGCGCTCCATGAGAAGATGAATTAAAATCAGTGAATTGCTTTGCTGAAAACTCTTCTTGCTTGAGGTCTAATATCTACCTAATATTTGTGACATTGATTGTGATGATGTACTTTAAAATAACTCTGCAAACTTGAACTAAGCCTCTCGTGTGTTTGCCTTTAGTGTAAAATTTTCATGGATTGATCGCTTTGTTGAACTCAAAATGCTGAGGTCTTGGGCCTCCTAATATTTTGTGTGAATTTAATCGTGATTTACTTTTATCTGATTATATTGCTCGAATACTAAAATAAGTAATTATTTGAATTTGAACTCCTAATTATTTAATTTAATGTGTGACTAGTTGGATTGATGTAACTCATAGAACATGACCTTTAAATTTCATGGACTCCCCAAAAAATTATTTAATGACAAATTGTCGATTTTATTTTATTTTATTCAAATAGTCCGACAGATGTTATACATGTCTTCATTTTACATATCTCCTATGTTTTTCCTCACTGCAAAATTCTCGTCAAAAAAAGTTTGTTAGGGAAAGAGAGAAATCATTGGGAAAGACATGAATAAGAGTAACTCGTGCCTGAAGATACAGTACAATTAGATATTAAATTTTTGAGAGAGATGTTGGTGGCCGTTAGATGAGTATATTTGAGACCGTCGAATGATTTTATTGAAATCTGTCATGCTTTATATTATACATGATTTCAACCACTTATTATCTTTAAAATTAAAAATGCCACGTATTTATCACGTCATTATTTTCATAATCAATAGCTAGAAATCAAATAAGCCAAACTTAATAACTATAAAACAATTTCAATACGATTGACCATCTCCGTAAGTACTTATTTGAAAGTAAGAATATTTCTAATTTTTATTTTAGATAATCTTCGAAATATATGACTTTGCGACAATGCTAAATTTGCTTATCCGTCTCAACCTATCCATTGAATTACTACTGCTTATGCCCAAAAATAAAATGGGGACTTTTTATTGGGTATCATTATACATTTACAACACCCATAAAACTTTATAAAAATATATTTGGATTGTGGGTTAACTGGGGTTATCATATGTAGGATGAGATAAAAAACAAACGGGGTCCATTTATATCATGTTTGGGAAGTAAATTTGAAGGTTGAACAGTCCGATAGGATTAACTCCCGGACTGCGTCTACAGTGCTTTTAAGCTTGACTACATAGGTTATTTATAGTGTCCGTTTGGTTTAGAAGAAAAAAATGATAAAAAAAGAAAATGATAGAAAATGAAATGATAAAAAATATATTTTCATACATGTATTTGGTTCGAATAAAAAACTTATAGAAAAGTTTTAAAAAAACTTTCATTCTATTGTTTGAAATAAAAGTTACAAGAAATTTTTATAATTATCTAAATTACCCTTAATTATATTAAATTGGTCTAAAGAAAACAAAATAAGTGTTATAATTGAAAGTTTAAAGAGTGGCTCGAAACATAATTCTAGATAAATCAGCACGATGGTCTTTGGGTGAAATTATAATTAAATCCATATCAAGATTTTTAAAAATTAATAACCAATAAAATATCTTTAAAAAATAAGGGTAAAATAGGAAGTAAATTATAAATTACAACTTTCTTGTATTTTCTTGTATTTTTTGCAAGAAAAAAAATTGGTTAGGTGTAAAAAAATTCAAGCATGAAAAAAAATATTTTTTCCCATTTCATGTTAATCAAACAAATGAAAATTTTAAAAATTTTCTCTTTATTACAAATGAAAATTTTAAAAAATTTCTCTTTCTGACATTTTTTATCATTTTCCTGCAAAACAAATTAATCCAAATAGAGGTCCGTTACACAATATGAGACTTATTTGGAAAAAAATATACACATTTTTAAAATATTTATAAATAAGTCTACCCACTATAACAAAAGTCCAAAATAACCGTTTTTGAAGTTGAAGAGTTTCTTTCCCTGACTAAGGAAACTAGCGTAAAGATAGCCAAGAGATAGCAAATGTTCTGTCTTCTCCACCATTGGTGTTGGACTTTGCATGATTTGATGATACAACTTTGAAATTCAAATGATGTTCACATTATCTACCTCAAACTTCATTCTCTCATCATTATCACATTACAAAGAAGGGTGTCAAAAATCATTATTCTTGAGGCTTTCACCGTGAAGAACACACATTGTCGACATCGTTGGACTTCCTGGGAAGAAAACGAGGGTTTTATCTCATTGTGAAGAAATTAAATGATTTCACTGTGAAGAATACACACAACCACCTATCTTTTATAACATATATTTTTCATCATATCCATAACTAACCAATTGCTAATAATGGCAGAAAAATTATGTAGAAACAGTGTAACATTATCACTATTTCTAGTGTTAATAATACATTGCAATAATTATAATGTCCCACTACAATAGTAATCATCTCATAGTGCATAGTGATAATGTCACACTGCATAGTGATAACATCTAATTATATTATAGAATTATATGTGAAGTTTACAAAAAAATAAGAAATTGAATCCCAAGTCATATTATGGGATAACTACAACAAGATGTAGTTCAAAAATCAAACGTGTTGTCTCAAAAAAAATTAGAAAACTGAATCCCACAATTCAATACCTAAAAAATAATTCATGATTAATGAAAAAGGGCAATTATGTAAATGAAATATTTAGAAAATAGCCAATGTGTATCTATTCACAGCACATTCCTAAAAAACAGAACTTATACACAAAAGAAAATCCATATGGTACTTTCCCATAAATAAGTAGTATATAGTGTACCTATCTACAATTTCCCCCTATTTATAACACGACACCAAATTAAAGAGTTTCTAAATTAGCCAAGCATGAAAATTTTTTTATGCTCATTTAAAAAAATAAACTTAAAAGGTTCGGCTCAAATTCACAAAGTTCGGCTCGTTTATATGTAAAATAGTCAAACTAGTAGAGCTCGACTCGAATTCTAAACGAGCCGAGCTTAAACAATTTTTTAATTTTGTTTAAAAGAATGTGCTCGACAGACTCAACTCGTGTTCGCAAAACTCAACTCGATTATCAGACAAAATATCTACATGAGCACAACAATTATAATATAACACATTTATATCTGAAATTAGTTAACTGAATCAAATATTACTCGAGTAGTCTAGAAGGGTGATGGGAGCCTTGTTTGAAGTAGTGCTTGCGGAATGAAACTTGAAGAACTCATCCTATCTATGTCACACATGCCAATTCTGGATCCACAAGAGTTGTGCTCCCTTAGTTAGCACCATCAATACTGCTCAATTAGGTGAGAACACACAACTCTTGTGGATCTGAATCAACATCTGTGAAATAAATACATCCAAAATCTCTCTATTGACTGTAACCATTCAAATTGAAGGACTAACATTAGGCAGACAAGCATGGAGGCTTAGAAGGTATGTGGGGGGAGAGTGGTGCAGAGAGAGAGAGAGAGAGAGAGAGAGAGAGAGAAGGTTTTGGAAGTTGTAACAAAAGAAGATATTCAAGCACAACCACCTCAAATAAATAGTAGTGAGATCCCTCCATGGAAAATGTTAAAAAAATGTTAAGGAAATGCTATTTGTACCTAATTTAGTAATCTTATTTGCTGACATGATGAATCATAGTCATTGAATCGTTAGTACGTCTCAACTAATAGTGAAGTCCACTATCAATTTAATGACAAAATAATAAGGTCACTAAATAAGATCCATATAGCCTTACTTAAAATGTTAACTCCCTCAAAGCTAGCCCTAACCCTTGGCCTGACAAAAATAATTTCCATTTGGGAAGTGTTACACTCGTGAGCTTCTCAACATGTGCAACGATCAACTACGATTTGCACAGTAGGCAAATATTCGAATCCATAACCAGAGCTTGAAAAATGTAATTTGAATTTAATTGGTTGATTTTATTTGTTGACATAATGCATCATAGTTATGAAATTTATAGTGGCTGTGGCTCTCAACTAATAGTGAGCACTGTCAATCCTATATCAAATAAAAAATTAAATTAATAAATAATATAAATTATATTCAAATAACATTCAGTTTTGGTGGACTACGTTTCTTGTCAAAATTAGTGGTTGAATAGATACAACTATAGACTTTTCAATTTTGTTAGTATTACATTAAAAATGTTTGGTCCACTTTATCAATAAATAGATCTAAGATTAAACAAGAACTATTTGAAAACTGTCGGTGGTAATGAGATCATTGTATAATAATAATTTATTATTATTTTTTTATTTTGGCTTGATCATGCAAGTAAAAACTAAATAGCATTTTGATTTCTTAGATGAGTGGATTTCATTAAAAATTTTATCATAATTTGTTTTAAGCATCGTAATCTGATCGGTACACCGATATCTATAACATTCCAATAGGTCGATTCAACGCCACCAGACAGGGACTGCAAAACCCCGGAACCTCCAAGTTCTCATTGTCATCTTGCGCTGCTTCTCTTCTCCGATGACTTCTTCTTGAGCTCATTGGAGTTCTCAATGCCTTGGCCTCTGTGACAGAGCTGGTGGCAATGAATTAGACCATTGGGTCCAACGATGACATTTAAGAATTGATGAAAATGATTTTTCCGATACATGTATCTCTTAATAATACACACCTATTTTTTTATTTTATTTTATTAGTATTTTATGATCAACAAAATCACAAACAATCTAAAATAAAATTTTATATTTAGAATTTATTTTGCGAAGAATATTTTTCATTATCACACCCTCATTTGCATAATGAATGAAACTTTCGTACACGACACGTTACCACAACNATTTTATATTTAGAATTTATTTTGCGAAGAATATTTTTCATTATCACACCCTCATTTGCATAATGAATGAAACTTTCGTACACGACACGTTACCACAACCAAATACGGACACAAAATTAATAAGTGAAGATTTACTAATTTTCGATACGAATTAAAAAATTGACACAATCTATTAACAAAAAATTAATAAATGAATCAAAATTAATGTCAAATTCAGATAATCTAAATTAAATACAATA